GTCTTTCGCGGTAAGACGAAGCATCGGTACGTCTCTGGAGTATACTGGTAAGTAGAGGGCCGTGCTGACTTGTGGTAGGTACACGACGCACTGCTATTTATCCACCTGCGCTCAGCAATCTCCGACGTATAGACGGGATATGAATCAGGAGTCAGTATCACCTCACATTACGGCGCTGGCATGCGTATAGTGGGCAGTAGGGCTGGCTGTTGGAGGTGCGGTAGCACTACTACCGGATCGGGTAGGAAAGCGATGTAAAAGATCGTGACCACGATTGTCTTTTCCAGCTCTTTCAAGCATTGGTACTAGACTAGAGTAAGAGGCGGTGTTTGCAAGCAGATGCACAGGCGATAGGCGGCTTTGACGTTGCAAATCTGGAATGTAATGACTAACTGATTTAAATTATCTTGTCTGCGGTTTGGAAAAAATGAGCAGCGGGTACTACGTCTGGAAGGATGGACTGTTTACTACTTGAAATGTCGACGTGTTGGTAATGATGCATTGATGGTCAGAGGTGAGGCTGTTTTACAATTTCAGGGGCATCAGAGCCTGACCTTGTGGATCCGGGCCGCCATTTAATGCAACAATTATTCTTGCTTCATGTCCTCGCGACTGTTAGTCGACCACTGGAGCTTTGGAATGAATATGAAAAATGGAGTGACACTTGAGAACTGTGCTACTTACACCTCGGTGAGTTGTCAGTTCCCGGATGATCTCTCCCAACCCTGAGAGCGGCTCTATGAGCGAAGCGCGCGCATCTTCCCTTGTCGACTAACCCTGAAAGATCCTCGGGGTCAATATGTAGTCCGTAATATATGATCGCGGCATTCATGATTCTCAGCGAGGAATAGACCCCCCCCGGACGTATTCAGTGGAAATTATATTTAGAGGGTTACTGGAAAGTCTGTTCCTTCACCATACGCTGAATCGTCGACATCTTGATCTTGATCGGGGACCGGTAATAATATGAGTTACACAGTTCATGAGCCTATCAAACGGCATGTAAATGTATACCACTGGTCGCAAAAGGCTGTGCTCAGAGTCTACGATGGGGTGGAACCCGATCTTGCTCCACCCAGTAATAGCACAGTGATCTTGCTGTTAACTTGCTGTTTTCGTTGGAAATTTCCATCCCAAACAGTAAGATCATGGTCTATAAATGAAAAGGAAGAGATGATTCAAAGGAATTTCAGTGAAACCCTGGAGTCTTTCCTTTCTTCGTCGTGCCTCCTTTTCGACAAGTTAAAAAAACCTCCAAGAACCCTCCTTTCACCATCTCTTCAATGGACCCCTTCTTGTCCCAAAGCATTCCAGAACTTATAATAGACGCCATTAGCTTATGGACGGACAGATACCGCTCTACCCGAGCTCTAACATCCTGTAGCCTCGCTTCACGCAGCCTCCTCCCACGATCCCGCTTCCATCTTTTCCGTATCATCCGATTTAACGACGCAGAACGATTCAGCACATTCCAAGAATATCTCCCCAGATAGGGACGTTGGTCCGCGTTCTCGACGTCTATAATGACTCGGGATGGGTGACCTCGCTAAGCGCGGTATGCGCCCATATGAACAACCTCGAGGAGATATTCTTCCGTAAAGTGAAGTGGGGTAACTTGGATTTAAAGGGGTTGTCAGGCGCTGAAGAGGGCCTTTCTAGTCGATGTAGATATGAAGGGGTTCTGGGAAGGAATTGAGCGGGTGAAGGAGCTGACGCTGCTGGGAAAACCAAAGGCGAGAGCATGGAAGATTTCCGTGGAATTTGAGGTTATTGGATGTTGAGTTTTGTCCGTACGTCAAACAACGGCTGCAGAACGCTCTTCTGAGGCCGGGAACGCTGAGGAATTTACGATCGCTGGCGGTTAAGTTTTGCGAAAGGAACGATGAGGAACTGTATTTGTTTGTGAAGCTGCTTGAGCGCACGAAATACGAGTTACAAGAGCTCAAGGTTACGCACCTGCCAAGTTTCGGTGAGTCTTTGGTTTTCAGCCATTTTACAAATATTGATACACGGCGCAATATGGAGGCTTCGATTCAACATTACTTCATCTGGACGTTTTCAGAATCAGAAAACTGACGATCAGGCTCGAAGACCATGCCAATGATTTATCACAATGGCTGACCTTGATCACGAGACTGCAAGTCCCCACTTCAAGGGAAATAGACATCTTCGTTCCCTCGCCTAGCATGTATGAAATTCAAAACGCCGACAGCCTCTGGGACGCTCTGGATGACAGAAATATCAAGTTGATGATCGACCTCTCTTGGGATCGGGGTGAGCAGACGTGCTGGAAATTTCAGGATGCGATATGGGTGTATAGTTTGGACAGGAATCAGTTGGAAGAAATGAGAGATTTCATATTGAGTAGGATGGAAAGACTGGCGAAAAGGGGGATGCTGGAAGTGCGGGTAAGGGTTGCAAGGAAACTTTTCACGAAGATTGGACCATATTAGCTTGATAAATAGAGATTGTGATGCTTGATTTCTCCTTTTCCGTAAAAAATATCCTGGAAAGTGAACTTAATGAAAGTTGATTAATTGAAGAAGGCAAGAAGAAGCACTCGCAATTACAGGTTGCTGTTATTCGGTTTTGAGTCAGAAGCTCTGTTAACTCCTGAAAGTCACGTATAGTGTTACCATAGAAGTTTATCGTGGGCTCGACATCAATCGATAACGATGCAAGGTAGATAAAGGAGGATATGTGGCTGTGCAATGCTTTCACGCGACGCGTTGTTTGGGCATGTTGTTTTGCCAAGGCTTTCTTCGTCACTCACTGCACCTTAGAAGTCATCTCTTCGTTTTGGGGGTGTCGTCCCCGGAGACATTTGGGGCAGCAATAGATCAACTTCTATTTTCCAACTCATTAAATATTTTCCTAGTCTCTGTTTTTGGTGGTAAGCTTCCTTCTAGCAATCATTCAAGCAAGGGGAAGGCATTTTTAGGTGACTCTGAATCATCCGGCTGGAAAAACAGGACTAATCGCAGGTGTGTTCTATCAATGATATGCAAATTGTTGAAATGAGCGGTAATTCTCCAGCCGCTCACTCGGATTTTAGCAGGGAACCCTCGCAAACAGGCAAGGGTTGTCTTCGTTCGACTACCTATTGATCTACTCGCCGTGTACACTAATAGAAGCAACAGGATGTAATAAACTAGTTCTTGCCTGACTAACCCTGATAACCGATGATCCCGACGTCAACTGCGCTGTGATACATGACACTTGAAACTCCAACACAAATGCTGTCGTTGGTGTTCCTTTCCACTTGTGACTAAATCTGAGCTGAGATAGGTGCTCACCGCTCAGCCACAGGAGGCTCGCGGGAGTGACTTCTGTCGAGCTCCAACATATCCCGTTGAGTAATGACACCGGACTTCTATGATGAGGTTTAGATGAGGAATGCTGCTTGAGAAGCCGTGCATGAAGGAGGGCACAGGGATCATAGTGAAATACACGAACTACCAAGGCCATCAAGGGGATTCCGAGGTCACTTTCCGTAACTGCTGATCATCCGCAATCCAATCGGGGCCCCCTTGAAACTGAACCGCCGGCATTCTTTGTCGGGCAGTCCTCGCGATAAATGTGATATCTGTGACGTTTCACCCTTATTAAATGCCGTGTGACCCTTGATGTAGTTAGACACGCGTCCTCCCGGCCCAGCCAGCATCTGAACATGGTGTTGGATAACACGCGCACCGTGTGATCAGGCACGTTTGCCTAGCGAGTAGATCATGTTTCTTAGAAGGCAAACAAGTACAGAATACTATGAAAACTAGCTACTTATATATCTTTCTGTATCTTCTAGTACTTTCTTCACCTTAGTAAACCTTTACTCAGCAAGACTCAGGCTAACTGGACATCGCGCCAGCTCGCACAGCCACAGGGTCATCAATACTGTATAATTTCGATCAGAGCGAATGGCTTGTGACCTGTGACGGTCCTGGACCTTGCCGAATGAACGAATACAGAATTTGGGACTGTGACATTCGCAAAAAGTATGAATACGAACCCGAACGAAGGTTGATTTTATGGGCAGATCTTCAACCGTAAAGGGATCAGGATCCTTTGAAAACAGCGCAAAAAGCGCTTCCGGAGAATTCTACGCTATTTAGCATGATTTATGGCCCAATTTAGGATTTTTTGGCCGTCTGGAGCCCCGGAACCTATCCGAATGAGGCTCCTGTGACCTGTGACATGCTCTTCTCTTACAAATACGAATGCGGGCTCAGGACATGTGACATTCGATGTGATCGAAATTATACAGTATTCCACACATGGTCTCCCCCAATATGCAAAGGATTGGGCGGAATACGGTCTGCGGCTCTGCCCCCAACATTATGTTCCAGCACACATTTCTGACCTTTCGCCTTTCTTCGTCTCGATTCTCGCTATATGAAACAATTCCCGAGTCCCTTGGCGCAGGAATACCACTGCCAGCATGGACACCACGAAATCGTAAGTCCTCTCGTAACCAATGTTCACTGTTTCGCTGATCTTCGCTTCTAGGTATTATACGCTTTTATCAACAAGGATTCTGTGCTTATTATGGCTAACAGGGCTTTATGCCCTCAGATTGACTACTAGGTATTCCTGCTGGCCAGTCGCTTGCGGCATGCAATTTGTTTTCTTACTCACTGATGTTACTTTGATTTATTTTGGCCGCATACTAGACACATCGCTCAGCGGAGACAAGTGGAAATGTCACCTTTTTCGACAATAATAAGATAACTACCAGCTAAAAATGCGACTGGGGGAGTCTACTTGGCTATCTCGTCTTTGGTCGTATAGCCCTCTTGAATATCTGAATCGACCTCGACGGTATCCATGATATATACGGCATTATTCTCCGTCATGTTCTACGACGTTTTCTTGGGTCTTTCTCTACTCGAGCAAATTCGACGTGTGAGAGATTATCATAATATTTCGCATGAGTAGGTGGCTGCGCTTCCTTCCATCTATGTCTTCCTCTTGCACAATGCAGTCAGGATGTGGTCGCCAGGCAAGTTGCCACACGCGCTTGTTCTTCTCTCTTCTCTTCTCTGACTAGCCTAACGGTCAATGTGAAGGAATCTCGTTGGCTCAGCAACGTCACATTGCAATTGAGCGAAAGGATGTGCAGCAGCAGTACTTGATCTATGCAAAGCAATTTACCACCCACCCGCTCGCTAACTGTCCACAAGATATATAGCGTCTCGTATAAGAAACCAACACTACCTATTGGTCCTACACCGCCATCTACCTTCAAATCGAACCGGTACCGGTTCCGTTCGTACAGTCATGGTACTCTAAATGTTCTTTACGTGTAGGCTGGTGGCGAATCAAAGGAATTACCTTGAGCCCTTTCTGATTCACGTACAAGGAGTTGCCAAACCTGTGTCCTCAATCTCAGAATTTCTCCTGTGACATCACCCAATGCGGCAGTGCCCGCATGTGGACCCTCTTCTTCGGTGGAAGTTTGAGGACCCACTTGTTGTGTGCTTCTGCGTATCTGGGGTTCTCTGGGTTCAGAGGGTCTGACAGGCAAAGGAGCAAAAACTGTGCTGATATCGTCCCTCCGTTGTCTCTCATCTTCAGTTGGACTTCCCTCCAGATCTCTATCAGCCATTCTCAAGTGTCCCTCCTGCAAGTTGGTCGATGACGGTGCCATCTCGCCCGCAAACATGGGAGAGATGGTTGCGCCATTTTCTTTGCTCATTGCGCCAGCTGGCGAAGGATGCGGCGGCAGTATTGATTGTCGCTGAAATATTATCTTAGGGTTTGGCGATATACGGTGCTTCAAGCTTCGGTGCTTCCGCCGGCGTATGAAGAGAATTGTGCCGCCTCCGAGAATAAGCATCAAGGATACCAGTGATCCTGTTACTGCGCCAATAATGATGGATCTTTCGTGTTTTCGATTATGATCTTGATCTGTCGAATCTGACTTCCTACAATCAAATCAGATCTATTGAATGCCAAAATTATTCTGAGAACACGCACGGTGGGTCACTTGCAGTAATTTTCGCACTTTGTACTGATGTTTCGGAGGAACTACTGAAACACGGATATTGAACAACATCCCGGAAGTGCTATAATGTGCGAATACAGACCTGGACCTGGGTGATGGATTCATAGCAGTCAAGGACACATTGGGTGGAGCATAGATCTGGGTAACAGCAACTACGGTATTTGTTTGGTTCTTTATTGCTCTAATGGTGTATTGGCTATGTTCAACAAACTATGAGTGAATACGCTTTGGAAAGAAACTCTGGGCCCACCCCGGTGAAGGAAAAGTCACATTCAGAGTCCCATGAGGTTGACTGGCATCACCTGCTAAGATTATGTCCCCTTGTGGAGAACCTTGGGAGTTGTTGACTCCGTCGAAACGGATATCGTCCGTTTCGTTATCGCGATGCCAGAATACCGTTATAGGTATCCCGACAGTCACAATACCCGGGTAACCGTCAAAACGAAAGCCGTATGAAATAGCGAACTTGAGGCAAGATCTACAGCCCTGAAGTTTTAGCGCCTACGTAGCAAGGTAGGGAGAAATGACTCACAGAACAATAAGGAGTAGCATCTTCGCCTCACCTGAGGGCCTTCCGAGTACTTAGAAGCGAGACCTTGCAATATGCGACTGTGGAGAGAACGAAAAGATACTATCGATGTCCTATATATGTACCCAACTTGTGGGAGAAACATACGGTCCATCAGTGGTCTGGGAGACGAATAATACACCGCCATTGAGATATGAACCCGTGATGAGATCCGCCAAGCATTCAAATATCAGAACTTGAATGGCCAACAAAGAACAGTTCGTCGGTGGGATACACTGCTCAATGTAAAAGAATGGCTGACAGTATTTCACTGATCAGGTTTGAGCTTGATCTTCGAGTTGCAAACCCTGATAGGTGTTAGCCGCAATCATGACAGAAAAAAGGCGTTCATCGGTATAACACTATAAATAGACGGCCGTGGCTTATGTCGACCAAGTCGACACCGTTCCCGACAATAGTCACAAAAGTTTTCAGGATTATTTCCGGTTATGATTCCTACAGATCCCCTTCATAGAGGTCAAAGGACTGTAAGCACACAGGCCAAGAGAATCGCAGAAAATTCTCCCGAAATTTCCACCAGATAGTCAGGTTTACTATGCCGGCACCTTTCAATTAATCATTTGAATACAATTCGAAAACGACATAGCGAAGCGGGAAGCCATCTCAATCTGATATCCATTAGATCATCTGAAAGACTTAAAACCGTCGCTAAAACTAAATATCATATCTAAGAGAAAAAACTTGCACGAGTTTGAATCCCTGTAAACAGTTTCAACCAATCGGAACTGGCATCTCATCTCATCTCGTCATTGCACGGCATGGTACCTTCAGGCACGCCGGACGCAAGGATACAAATAACAGGTAAGTAACAGGTAAGTGCACTAACTACCCTCTAGTGGTGCTGTGTCGTATGACGCGTAGTCTTACGTCATTCAATGGCCCCTAACCATTGCCTCCAAGTGCCAAACATTGATGCGAAAAGGCAATCTTTCACGATGACCGTGAGTATGGTAACTGACAAACCAGTCCTATCTCTCACATCTGTTGCGAACTCAGGACGAGCTAATAATCGACTTTACCAAACCAAATCACCGTTTAAATACAAACCGCTCCAACATCCCACTCGGGTGGAGCTGCGACTGGGCCAGATTCGAAGGTAGTGATTTGCTAGCACCCTGCATCAATGGACGCATCAGAGAAAACGCTATATTGGAAGGATATTATAGCATCTTTGGCGAAATATTCTTCGTCATGTACAAGGTTGGGACGTATACGACCATCATCAGATGTGGCAACGACACGGGGCAATATTACTTGTTCAACCTCGACATGGACAATCTTTACAAGTTCACAGAAGATATCCGACGCTGGAGGCGTTTATGGAACGAGCCGCGCTTTGGATCAATGGCGACGCGCAGATCTATTCGGTGACCCCGTTTGCAGCTGTGGAGACAAAGCCAGGGCCAATCCCGCCCAAAGAGTTGGAAGATGCATGGGATCTCGAGGAGGAGGCGATGTCCTAGCACGATATTGAGTATGCACGCGTTGTTATGGTCACCATCTGAAGAATCAGAAACCAGTTAGATCACCACGTATATTGATATCTTGCTTTTGCAGAGATTGCACAGCCGGCTAGCACCATCAATCCCAAATGTATCTTCGCTTCAATCGATAACACGTGAACATTGAGAATCATCTCGAAGTCCATCATCGTTACCATACGTCCCATGGATCCTAACGATATCGTGAGCAAAAGCACCAGTGTTCCACCATAACTAACATCACATACTGGACCAGATTTCTGTAATGTCTGACATGTGCTATTTCTTCCGCGAACAGAGCAGGCTACCCATTGGCTGACGATGCGACTGGAACTTGTTCTTGGGGAACGGGATGTTTTTCCCTCGTGCCGTCGATAGCCGCACATATTTCAATGTCGAGCTAGAAGGAATCTACGATATTCCTCGTGGCACCTTCAAAGCCATCATGTTCTATCACGACCTCATGGTCTTCCTTTGTTCAGGGCGATTTTACGTCTGGGAGCTCGCCGTCTGTTCCACCGACACTTGTGGTAAAGAAGATGTGCGTGTTTGATAACTCCGTCTACGAAGAGAAAGAAGCGGAATGGTACAGGCTTATGGGCATGAAGGATTATGAGAGTGGAGATGACGATGAGGGCAAAATTGAGCTCGGAGAGTCAAGGCGTTCTTTGACGGAGTAGTGGTGAGAAATTTGTTCATTGAACATGATGCATCCCCGGCTTGTCCTTAGCAGCAAACTCGACTTCAGACGCGGAGTGGGAACCAGAAGTTCAGGTCTGCGGGACAGACTTGCAGAAGGAATGCTTTCATCTAAAGAGGAACCTGCGGAGCTCAGCTTGTCCGGATACATGTTGAGAAAAAAGTGCTCTCGCAATCAGCCGTCTGCATTTCTCGGCCTCGTTATAACAAAACTTCTTCAGACTGGAAGCGTCTCCTTGACACTGTTTTTCATGTGGAGGGATGCGCCTCTCGCGGCGTGGGAGTGTACGGCATCTACGGCGACGTGACCATTATGAGGAATCATACGTATGGTCTCTGTGGCGGCTTCACAAGGTGGTTGTACGAGTTCACGATCGCGTTCACTTCCGTCAATGCCTTCTTGTCGGAACAGGCAATGGGGCACGATGCTTGTCACGCTGAAAGAAGTTTCCGCCGTACCAAGAAAATTAAAAGATGAAGGCCACGAGATCAAGGGGATGAGGTCAAGGTGAAGGACGAAGAGCCGTCATAGTGATAAAATAATAATCGAAGATTTGACGACGGCCAACTACATTTGTTCTGCTTCCTTCTGAGCTCTGGTCTCCGCACACAACTCGCGGGAATTATCCGGGATAACTTCCACCTCGCCTGAGGAAAAATGTCGTCCGCTGCGTCTCCTGATTAACCGGACCCATCCAATCCTTCACGGCGTCTAAAAGCGTCTGACGACGAATACGTCTCGGTAAATTCGTGGAGAAATGCTTTGAATGCATGCCAGATCTATGGCCCCACATGCGATGAGATGATACATGTCGAAGAAAATATCTCCGCAGATGCCAAGGTATTGGTTCTCGAGGAAAATGTTCGGGAATATGAGCGTGTGGTATGAAATGGGGTCTGCCCCTTCCCAGAGGCTCTGATAGATACTCTTATTGAGGTATACAGGTGAGGGCCATTCCGAAAGAGACGCAGTCCCCGCTGCGTCTATGGCTATACTCATCAGCACTTAATAAAGACGAAACAACCTGGATACTCATACTTATCACGAGAAAGGCTGCTTGTTTAAGGGCGGCGTCAATGTCGGTGGTTCAATCTCAAGGGGGCCTTGATTTCCTCGATTGGATTTGGTCGGGGCTTTATTGGAGAAGAATGATTGAGCATCACTCTTGTTAGGGCCTGGATAATATGGTATTTCGGTTCGGTGTGAGTCCTGTCATCAGGTGTTCGCTGGACTTCCCGACGTAGGAGGACACTAGGAAAACCTCTCAGGTGTTACAGAGATGCAGCTCCAGATGTGTAACAGCCGAGTAACCAAACTTGCGGGTTCTGGACGTGAGCCTTGTCGAAAAGACGTCATTTTAGTCGTCACCGCAGTGTTATCTGAACGGAGTTCAAAGCTGATACAATGAAAGGCGAATGGAAGACATGCATACTAAGTTTAGAAATGATTGCCAGGTTTTCTCCATGTGCCGACCCGACCATAGACTTGATATCTGCGGAAGCGTTAGCGTACATTTAGGTGGGGTACTCGCAAGAATTCCACACTTTGACAGTCGTCGAGGAGTACTTATCCCCGACAATGTGACACACTTCCATCACCTAAAGGAATCGCTGATGGACTTGGAATTTCGTGCCGGAGTCGGACGAGACATGATCGGTTTGATATTGAATATTGAGAAACCTCGACCCGCCTGACTGTCAGTCGATGTGGACAATTTTATGTAAGCTCCGGTCATGCGGACTTGGCCAATGACTGTACACCGTCGTCCCATCCATATCCATCTCTCACATTTATCATGAACCAGACCGAACTGACAATCGATTTCTCGAAACCAAATCATCGCTTGAACACAGACCGCTCCAATGTCCCACTCGGGTGGAGCTGCGACTGGGCTAGATTCGATGGTAGCGATTTTATACTAGCACCCTGCATCAACGGGCGCATCAGACAAAATGCTGTCTTGGAAAGATGCTACAGCACCTATGGCGATATCTTCTTCGTCATGTACAAGGTCGGGTCGTATAAGACCATTCTTCGATGCGGCGACGACACAAGACAATACTACTTGTTCAACTTTGATACAGACAAGCTTTACAAGTTCACGAAGAAATATCCGACGCTGGAGGCGTTTATGGAACGGGCGACGCTTTGGATCAATGGGGACGCGCAGATCTATTCGGTGACCCCATTTGCGGCTGCGGAAATAAAGGCGGGGCGAGTTTCAGTTAGAGAGTTAGAACTTGCGTGGGATCTCGAGGAGGAGGCGATAGAGGGAGGGAACGTCGTAGATGACATATGCTAACCAACAAACGGGGAGCCTTCCAGACCCGGAGTCCCAGATTGCTTCGGTGATCAAGCTATCCCTGTCGTCTTCACGCGACCTCCGCAAGCTGTTCAGTGCGGCAATGCAAGCAGCTATTATCCTTCTTGTACTTGCCCTGGGTGCTCAACTCCGTAAATCGTAAAATTATCTGACGTGACGGCCGCATCACTTTCATGAACGATGTCGACTGCGCGTATGCCAGATTGGCCGATCCCAGCCGGTCCTTCACACGTGCGAAAATGTATCCATGACGAACACATCTCGGTGAATTCTCGGAGTCGTGCATTTAGCGGGTGGTCGTTCATGGCTGGCAATGATATACGTCGAAGCAAACATCTCCGGTGACGCTAAGGCAGCTGTCGTAGAAACTGCTTGGGGATATGAAGCCGTCTACGACACGAAACAGGAAGCAGCGTTAAGAGTGGTGGGGCTCAGCCGATGCTCTAGTCGAGGAGCATACGGGTGGGAATCAGGCTTGGAAGAGGGTCGGGCATATGCCAAGGTAATCTTCAAGAAAAATCCTTGGCAACGAAGCCATCTATGGAGCACGAAACAGGGAGCAGCGCTATAGGTGATGGACCCGGTAGACACACTACTTGAGAGAAATGGGCGGGGGTGATGTTCGGAAGATGCGCGGGTTCGGAGACAGGCACGTACGTCAGCATTTAATCAAGGCGAAACAACTCGACACTCACGTTCGCCGCGAGGAATACGGCCTAATTAAGAGCTGTATACCTGTCGGTGGTGGAGTTCCAAAGGGATATTGGATGCATCGTGGAAGGGGTGATCTTCATTTGCGATGAGCGATCATGCCCCGTCCTCGATATACCCGTGACGATCTCTTAGGTTGGCTGACGTGATCTATCAAAAGGCGCTCCCAGTGTTTCACTGAGCAGAAGTGCGTCGGAGACTCCCCTCAGGTGTGACATCGGCTACGGAAGGGGTTAAAAACAGGAAGACCTGAACAAACAGAACAACATCAGAACAAGAAAGCAGCCAAAACGTCGAGGCTTACGGTCCTGCTATCAACAGACGGCTTGAATGGGAAACCCTCGACGTTCGCTCAGGTGTAACCACGAAATAAGGAAAATGTCCATGGATCCACGTTCCCGATGTGTACTTCGGCCAACAGAAGTTGCCACTACCTTACTATATTGCCTCGCAATGTATGGACATGGACTTCAGTACCACAGTTGTACTTTTAACAGCGTTGAGGACCCACAAGAAAATGAGAATGAACGATAAGCCTACCAATCTTGAAGAAGATCAAAGCTCTCCTGCTGACGGCCATTGATGTGGCGATCCGACCTTAGGTCGGACCAATGCAAGAGAAGAGCGACGGGAATGTTCGCAGCTGCTTGTAGCCGTTCTAGGAAGCCAGCACTCGGCAAGATGGTGGTGGTGGTACCGTTGCGCGCGCAGGTCCTAATATGGAACGGCAGGGTCCATGGTGCGATCTCATGCCTAACAGGGATGTGGCACAAGTGGGATTGACCTAGACAATGGAGACCATTGATAAGAAGGAAAATGAAGACGGAAGATAGACCTACCGAAGTTATGCACAAAGACGAAGGCATTCTCTGCAACGTAGAACCACGAGTTGCGCTTCTCTTCGAAGCTTCAGCGCCACGAGTAATGAGCTGTAAGGATATTAGCATGATATAATTGACACAGGATCACTCGTCCATACCTCCGTGCTTGGCCGCCTTCTTCCTTCGATATTTGCACACTTCGGCTACGGCGGAGTCTCTGCGCCTTCGGAACACGGGATCTTCACTTTAACATCGAACAGTACGGCGAGAAAGTATCTGCAATACGGCCTTTCCTGGAGTTTCATTAAACTTCAGTCGGGCGGATGGAGTACTATAAGTCAAAAAGTCAGCACGCAACGATAGGATTGGTCGACGCTGGACGGACAAAACAACGATCCATACTTTGGGACGACGTGATGCCACCGCCTTCCTCTCTGTTGAATAATATCGATGTACGAAGCCTAAATGAAAGGAATCAGAAATGAATCGAAAATGAAAACAGCTTACCAAAGGCATCCTATCGTTCAACTCGTCATAGTCGCGGAGATGATTAAGTTACAGCCTGTTCAGGGATCTTAGAGTCGAGTCATTTTTGAAGCACTGCGCGCGTACTCCAATGCCTGCTTCCCTCGAAGCTCAGCGCTCAGCTCTAGGCAACTGATACTGTGATAGTTAAAGTTCGAGAGGCACCTAGAATCTTAAAAGACCAGCACTGGCTCTGAGAGAAAATTATGCGATAACATTACTTTAGATATCGAAAACCACCATAGCTGCATCTTTTCGCACCCAGGTCCTGCTCGTCCTTGACGGCGTACAGAAGCGGTTTACTAACGCTAGTTCGACGTTAGGCCTTCGGGAGAAAGAAATACCCGTAGGGAGATTGGTGAAGATCCCAATGATATTTGCCGCGATGGCGTACCTCTAATAATTGGTTCGTCTCAATCCATATGGATCAACCCGCTTGAACCTGGTCCGTTGTCTCTCGGAGATTTTTGGTGACAAGATTTGGTTCCATTCCACATGAAATAATGACTGCGACGAAGGATTTGTCAGTATCGAGCACATGGGAGCCAGCACCGACACGTACTCTTCACAACAACTTCAAGCCCTAGACCGGGAAAAATTTCCGAGAAGTCTATTCCTTCTTTTAGTCGTCGAAAACATTATAAGAGAGTCTAGCATTTGCAGAAGCATAAACACCGCACGGAACGTGAGTGAAACGAGTACTAAATTCAACGGGCCCGGTCACCGTCGTCGTGGTAGGAAAGGAGGAAGCAGGACAAAACAACAGACGCAAACAGACGCGTCACGTCAGTGGCTGTGCCAGCACATTTCACCATTTTCCGACGCCCTGGTCGCACCTCCATACTTTTTATCAGTCTTTCGGCCCCGGATTACACTTAAATTTGCGTATCGTCTCCAACCCACAATCCTGCCCCTTCCATAAAAGCCTCGAGCGTTGGATAGTGCTCCGTAACTTGATAAGCCTCTCTGACGATTTACCACTGACCAGCCGTAACAAAATAAAGATCATTTTAATTCACAGGTTCGTATACAGGGAATTCTCTTTCACTGTATATCCAACACAATATCATACCACGACAGAATCAGGACAATGCAGAGCAATAGCTGAGGCAGATTTTCGATAACCCGCTGAGCGGGGCTGTCAGGTGAAAGGACATCTGCCACGCTATCGACCCGACCAATAGGCAGTATCTGGAAAGAGAGTCTCAGCCACCAGCGGCAATAGCTCGGCAAATGAGCCGTTGCGTTGCCGCACGCTCGCCACTTAAGCCGACCCCGAGTATAGCCCCTGTCCAGACAGTTTTGCGCCTACTTACGACCAGTTAACCCTGCTGTAACCCTTCTGTCGTTTCCTCATTCCTCGGAAAAAACTGGGGATGGATCCAGATGCAGAAGGTCGACGGCTATCACAGAACAGATTAAAGCTATTCAACTCTGATCGAAGATCACTTCGAACATATTTCGTATTTTGACGTCTAACCATCACCTGCATCAGTGCATCGCAATGCTCTGTACGTTTACTTTCCCACTCAGCCTTGCACACGCCCATTACTTATGTTTATCCCGAAAGACCTGAGAAGGAAATTGATTTCAGAGTCCCCAATCCACCGCCTGTATACCGGCTCCTCGAATCTTCCATTCGGGTGGAGCTGCGCCTGGCACAAGTTTTTGCGGTCGCTATAACCTCTATCCTTGAGTACGAGGACGTATTGACTCCAACCTCATCCTCGAAGCCCTATTCAACGTCCATGGCGATATATTCTTCGTCATGTACAAGAGCAGGACATTCTTAACCGTCATCAGAACTGGCGAAGACCCCACCCAGTACTACTTTTTCAACCTCTACACGGAGAGGCTCATCAAGCTTACCGAACACTATCCTACAGTTGAGGCGTTCATGGAGCGGGCGAGATTGTGGGAGGGAGGTGATGCGCAGATTAATTCAGTGACTCCATTTCAGGTTCTAGAAATTACCCCAGGTCCGAGAGACATCAGCGATTTGAGCATAGAGTGGCAGGCGGATGTGCGAGCCTTGGCGTAGGCTGCAGGTTGGCTTTATTCCAAAGCTTTTCCCAGAGACGCACACAGTATGAAACTCGAAAACTACTACGAGTAGCAGAGATGGGCATGAGAGACAAAGGAGGCGGTAATCGTACCTCCAGCAAATGGTTAGTCACAGAGTGTTGACAGGCTGCCCCAGAGATGGAATTTCCTTAGCCAGTATTGGGTGCGACCCGAGAAAGTCCCGCAGTAATATCGGAGTACATTGAAACCGCTTCGTCGATAAGAGATTGTAAATCCGAAGCATTCGCTAGGCCATCGCAAAATCAGTCGGCTCCCGTCGAGCTCCTCGTAAAGCTTGTTGTGTGCTCGGTGTAGGGTCGAGGTAGTAGATGAAGCCTGCACATGCAGTACAGCACAACAACATTTAGTTCACCGATGCTGCACACGGCCAATGGGAAAGACATAAATCTACTTAGCAGTCACATCAAATCCCGGTATGAGACGTGACATCGCTTCTGCGGTGAAATCTTCCCGGATTGTTGGTATACCTTTGGATATAGCAAGTCAGCATAATCGTCACAATCATGAAAACGCTGGGCACTTCGGATCGTTCCCTGCTTGCGGCTTGTTCAGTAAATCGTTGCGATATATAGGTACTGACATCCCCTCAAAATAATCGTGGTAACCATTCTGATTCCCGCTTCCCGCTACAGCATCATCCCCACGCTCCACCTAAACCACAGAGCACTATGCAGGCATGGCTCTTGTCGGAACCGTATACTTCCCCCGTCCATTCAAAGTCTCAACAGCCCACACCCTTCGTACATACTCCGTCCCTACATCGCTGGAAGGGCTGGCTATGATCCTTCTTTCTCCTGCGAGCTGATCTTTGCCCACAACGTCGTAGAATTTATGTCGCGTAACTTACGTCTTTCTTTTCCACGAACGGTGGTAATGCATACACCTATTGGCCAGACATGTTCAATCTCCTTCACAGCGTCTAATAGACATCCAATGGTGAAGTATGTTTCAGCGAATTCTCAGATTCGTACTTGCAGCGGATACTGGATCTGAGTCACGGTCTCCACTAACATGCATGACGAAGAAGATCCGTAGATTCCAAGGTAGTTGTGGAGAATATTTCCTGGGGCAAGGGCCTATTTATGACACTAAACTGGGAGCAGCGCTATGGGCGGTGGGCCCGGTCGAAACTCCGGTGAGGGATGTATGGGCGGGATCATGATTGAAAGATGGAAGGACACGGAGGCATGCACGTCTAGCTGCGTCTATGACTACACATATCAGTATTTCAAGATAAAGGAGAAACATCTCGGACTCACATTCTTCGTGAGGAGCGCTGCATCAATGACGGTAGTCCAGTTTCAAGGGGGGGATCAATTGAACATTGGAAGAGGTCGTCTTTGTTTGCGATAAGTGTTAGCCTGAGTGCACTATACTCGGTATGCCCTTGGTGATCTTGTGGTTTGATCGTACATAGGTGCTTCATGGCGTAGAAGTGCGTTGGGAAAGTCTCCCTAAGTGTGACATCGAGGGTTGAGGATCGGAAAATCTGAACAAACAGTACAACATCAGAACAGGGAAGTGGCCAAGACGTCGAGGTCTGCAAACCTGCTATCAAAAGATGAGTCGCTGGGAGAGGAAACATTTGACACTCGCTCAGATGGCATCAAAAACCGGTAATCCTAAAAAATGCAGAATTTAGGGTAGACTGAGCAATGGCTGACACGGTGATCGCTAGTGTGCATTACAAACAAAATCTCAGCGTGCCTGTTAAAAGAGTCAAAATTATGCTAAGGCGTTAATCACTGGTCAGCACACCTTTAATATTTGGTTACTAGCAATAATGTGTTGTGTAACTGCATTTAATCGGTGAGGTAGCCTCATTTGCACGCTCCCAGCGTCAGTCTTTTCCAGATCATCGAGCCAATTTTGAGCCAATTGGTTTCATGTTGCAAATTTGTCAATGAATCCGGGGGAGTGTAACAGTACTTTCAGTGAGCTATCAATGGGCACTTAGGGGGTCAACAGCTTGAGAAGGTCATATTGTGGACAGTAGACATAAGACATAGTGCAAGTGTAAGAAACGAGAGACAGAACGTGTTCCCACGCAATCGCTGCGATTGCTCCTGCGCGGGATCGGGATCGGTCCGATGTTCACGTGGCCTACCTCAATATCAACTTGCCGAGTTCCAAATGGTAGATTGAATTTGTATCATTGTTTGTTCAAACACAGAACTAACATTTTCTATAGATAAACTGTCACCTGAAACATATCAGGGAGCTTGGAATAAAAATATACGAAAGAGCTCTAGTTGTCTAATTTATTGCTGACAGCATCGTTTCAAGTCGCATACGTGTAACACAACAAACCGTTTTGCGTGTCCAACACATCAGCAACCTACATTGAAAGCAGAGGGATCAACGAAAGTTCGCGCTACTACGGAAGTCCGGCACATACCGTTACATCAGGAAGTATGTCGAAGATATATATCACGGTATCTCCGGTGGTCTCCTGGTATGTCGTTTAGTACATCTTGTGACAGAAACATGAATAACACGCACAACATAACCAGTAGGGGGCTCTTTCTGTGTCTCATTGCCCTATATTGTTCAAATCATTGATGCGAGTCTCGTTGTCGCCCTGCCACTGCCACCAAAGCTGCAGCAGATACGCGACTCGAAGATCAGTCCACAAAGAACACGAGAAAGAAATTGGACTGAACGCACATAATCCAAATATGCGTGATGCATCCAGAACATTGGATCATTAGGCGACGTTACATAGTCAGCCATCTGACAAAAGACAATGGAATAAGAAACCATCATCGTAGATAGAAGAGTACCCACGTCCCCTCCAATACCGAGATGACCTGCTGGATGTACCCCGGACTGTGTGGTTAAAACAGCCGCGGTAGTTTTAAATCCGGAGAACGTGTCTTGGGCAAGCAAAGCATCAACGTATGTCTGTCCCAGCTTCGAGTGAGGCGGTTTCATTCACTTGGCGTGTAAGGAGATGTTCCGTATTCGTTGTTCCAATTCCAAGGTGCAGTGTGAGGTTAGCGAAAGGCCCATCAATGACGGCCCAGTCATTTTCCTCATCGCCGTTCCCTCCAAAATCGAGCAACACTGGAGAGGCAGAAAAATTTCCAGCATCGACAACTTCATTCCAGTAGGGAAGCTGAAATCCGGTTATTCGTTTGATGACTAGCGTAAAAACTAGCTGGACGTACAGGACCAGTATATCCGCACTCAGTACGAAGGATTGTTTCATGAACGTGGACGAAGTAACGATGGACCTGCAATGTGTGTTAAGACTATCAATCCCGAACCAAGGGATGAGAATGATGTTCATACATGTAAGAATCTTTGAAAGATAGTCTGGGTAAGCATAGTGTATGGCGAGTAATGAAGTACCACTGACTGTCCAGTTACATGCCAGAAATCATTGCCATCTGGTATATCGCTTTGCTGGGCATGTGTACCAACCTATGGTAAACGAAATACATGAACATATTATTAGAGCTATACAGTGAAACTGACAAAGTCATCGTAGCGCGACACGACACTTGGAATTCCGGTTTTTGCAGGGGCCTCGAGAAGACAGAGTTCTGCTGCGAAATAGGCTGCCTTCTGATCTTCTGTTAACGTATTCCTACAAGAGGTGTTAGAAACGGTACATCGGCGTTGTGAGATAAATGGTTACCATTCCACGCGAATACTTGGTTCCGTGCAAGTGGACCGTCGACTGGCGGGCATCGCCAATGTGCGAGCCAACTGAGTAGTGGCCAAGACCAGCAAAGATAGTTTGGGCAAGGTCGCATGCATTTTAGCGCAAGTATCACCAAGCAACAAAGGCAGAAATGACTCGACCTTGGAGAGTTCATTTGAGTAAGGTAGCTTTTATATGTGGATGATCAATCCCGAAAAAGAGACGAAGCCGTAAACAGTGACAAGTTTTACCGCAAAGCTTCATATTTTTGCTTCAGGGTGCTAACCGCTAAGTGTACGACCAATACACTCGAATTATCGCAACTGGCCAAGGCGCGGGAGTTTCAAAGCTTGAGATCCCTAGTCTGGTTCAAAATACCTTCACGATACTCATTGGGACGACGAGATCACAGCTGTCGATGAAAGTTTTTAGTATTCAAAATCAGAAAGTGGGTCAGCATTATTTTCATCCAGTTTGCGCCTCAATATGCGTTACTTCAGCGTATACTTGCACCTAATGTCTGTCTCAACTTGCTGCAACATCTACTGCTATCAGTGCATCACCGGCCAATCTTGAGGAAGCCTATCTAGCGCCCTTCAACATTGTCACGATACTAGATCGCTTCAAAACAATACATACTAAGTTCAATGATTTATGGGGACCGATGTCACTCCTGTATGGCTTCGGTTGAAGTGGCGCTTGTATGCGTGCACTTCGGATGTTGCATTAGACCTGCCGTCTGCGACCCACATCATTAATCCTCGTCTTGGTATGTGAACACTCAGTTTCCCTGAACTATCTCCGCCTAGTAACTGAAGTTACCTTGGAAGCTTCCTGATCCATCCATTACTTGCTGTGCTCCGCCGTTTGATTCTTATGAAATGCGGGAGATGACGCTAAACACAATGTCCGCGGGCGTCCCGAAATCAGTGGAACCAGTGGTCTTTGATTGGCTATCAGTATTCACTTGCGCGAGTTCCTTCTTTCGCCAAACATTACGCAGTCCAGAAATCCTTGAAAATATGAAGGGGATGGTTTTTATTGACTGTATGTAAAGTTCAATCTATCGGCTGTTGGTCAACTAATATTCCGGTAGTCGGCGTAAACGTCTTACAGTGGCGGATCCACTATTTGGAACCGAGATATTTATATCCTGCCCGGTGCCGTCATAATCGTGATAAGCATCTCCGTAGTCACTTTCCTCCTCCTCCGGATTGTTCTTACAATGAATTCGTACCTGACTATATAGGCTGCAAATCACGAATGAATGTTTTATCGTACCTTACAATGGCTCCCAGAACTTAGGATAAATTCGTCGCAGACCAGACCGGAGCCGAGTCCGCTGCCGTCACCACCGACTTAAGCGGGAAGACGCTGGTCCTCATTGGTGCCAATGTTGTTCTGGGATCTGAGGCTGCAAAGCACTTCACTAGGACGAATCCTGCGCGCTTTGCGCAGGACTGTATGCGATGAAACACAGGGAAACAGGCTCTGGTCCGTACGCACTAAAGAGGGAAGGAAATATTTCATGAGACCTTTTTTAAGCTCGATGAACTGTCGCAAGACAGGAGACGATAATAGGGCCGTCGATTCCTGTACTGTGATGACACTGATGTTCTAGACGTCACTCTCCGGGGCATCGAAACACTGAGATATCCTCGCTTGAACTATGTCACTTGTCACTGATAAAACAATAGATCGCGGAAGACAAGAACTTCCACAGCGTGATTCGCGAGTTTGCATGCCATTGTTGAGGTCCGGGGGGGGGGGGGGGGGGGGGGTTAGACGAACGTGACATTGGATGAAAAGCAGTCTGTTGAAAAGAAACAGAAGACAGCATACCCCTTCGCCAGTGGCATATTATATTTCTGAAGGATCGCTGACGGTTAGCGCGAGACGGGTGGCCGACTGGGTAACACAAAGAAAGAAGCGTGTTTAAAGTTGCCGATGCCGAAACGAGACCTGAGCTAATCTTGGCCACAGTGTGGGAATTCATCCGAGAAGATTCAATACATAGCCGATACAACATCTCAGATGAAACATGGCAACTTTGATTGAGCAAATGCTCCTCCAGTCCTATCAGCACCAAGTTAACCATGATACAGAGAATGCCTTCTATTACCAGAAGGACAGTTCAACAGTGCGACGTTTCAGTAAGTGGACCGCCTGCTTTGTAAGGGAGTGGAGTCGGATCCTGTCAAATATCGCTCGATATGAGGACTAGTCACGCTAAGATTGAAGCCACATACCAAAATTCAACAGAAAATGGTTTGAATGTCGTCGACAAATCCGTACTATCATGTCCAAACTATCTCTTGCGCCTGCGTTCATACACCCTATATTGTCGGGTCGCGACACGAAGAAAGGGTGGAGGCACTGACGACCATGCCCCAGACCAAGCTGGTATTGGGTGCGACGCGGGAAAGCCCCACAGTAATGCGGAGTACATTCATATCGCCTTGTCGATACAAAATTGTAAATCCGAAGCCTTTTCCCGGCCATCGCAACATCAGCCGGCTCCCGTGGAGCTCCTCTTGAAGCTTGGTGGGCGGTTGGTGTAGGATCAAGGTAGTAGACGAAGGTACGTACAGTACTGCACAACAGCATTTAGTTCATCGATGCTGCACACGGCCAATGAGAAAGACAAACTTACTTAGCAGCTGCATCAAATCCCGGTATGAGAAGTGACGTCGTTTCTGCGGCGAAATCTTCTTGGTTCATTGAAATAGCTTTGAATATAGCAAGTCAGCATAGTCGTCAAATTACGAAAATGATATGTACTCGAGAACGTTCCAGGCTGACGACTTGCTACGGTCCTATCCATAGGTACTGACATCCCTGAAAACACCCGTGGTAACCATTCTGATTCCCGCTTCCCGCTTCCCGCCTCCCGCTATCGCATCATTCCCCTGCTCCACCTAAACCACGGAGTTCACTTTAGTAGCGGCCTCCATTATGCAGGCACTGCTCCCGTCGGAACCGTATACTTCCCCCGCCCATTCAAAGTTCAACAGCCGACGCTTCCCTTCGTACATACTCCATCTCTACGTCACTGGGAAGCCTGGCTATAAACCTGCGCCCTCCTGCGTGCTGATCTTTGCACACAACTCGTAGACATTATGTTGCATAACCGACGTCTTCGTTTCTACGAACGGCGTCAATGCATACGCCTGTTGGGCAGACCCATTCAATTCTTCACAGCATCAAATGCGAATCCAATGATGAGTATGTCTCATGGATTCTCGGAGTCGTGCTTGCAGCAGGGGCCGAATCTGATTACGATCTCCGCGGACTTGCGACGATTCATGACGAGAAACCATCTCCGTAGATGCGAAGGCAGATTTCAAGGAAATTGCCTGAGAATATGAAACCATGTAAGGCAGGAAACAGGGAGCAGCGTTATGGGCGATGGGCCCGGTCGACACTCCAGTTAAGGGGCATGTGAGCGGGGATCACTGCTGGGAGAATAGAAGGGTGTGGAGACATGCACATCTAGCTGCGTCTATGGTCACACATCCATCAGCATTTAATAAAGGCGAAACATCCCGAATACTCACATTCATCGAGAGAAGGATTAGTTGACTAAGAGCTACATAAATGCCGATGGGTGAATATTGGGTTTCAAGGGGACCTCGACTAGATCCTGAAAGGAGTCGTCATTCTTTGCGATAAGTGATCGTGCACCTCCTCGTTATGCCCTTGCCAATTTGGTAGTTTGGTCAAATACGATTGCTACCGCCAAAATGCGCTCCCTGTGTTTTAAAGTATGTTGGGAAAAGTCCCTCTAGATGTGATATCGAGTTTGAAAGGCGTTGAAGATAGAAAGACCTGAACAAACAGGACAGCATTAGAACAAAAAAAAGCGGCCAATACATCGGCATCTACGAACCTGCTACCAACAGACGTCCTATTTGAATAGGAATGAGATACGGAAAATGACAATGTATCCACGTTCACGACGTGTACTTCGGCTAGTAGTCGCCATTGCCTTCTCTCACAATGAATGGACACAGAGGTCAATACCACAGTTGTGCCTAATCCAACTTGAGAACCCGCAGTCAAGAAAAGGAGAATGGGCGATAAACGTACCAATCTTGAAGGTAATTAGCAAGTTCTCCCGCTGACGGCTGCTGATGTGGCGATCCGACCCCAGGTCTCGCTAATGCAGGAGTCAGGAGGGGGGCGGGAATATGACAGCCGTCCTGAGAAGTCAGTGCTCGGCAGAGTGGCACGATTTCATATCCAAACAAGAAAGCAACGTGGACAAAAACGACCTAACAGATAATAGTCGTTGGTAAGCAGAGAAGGAAGACATACCATAGACCCACCTAAACTATGCACGAATACGAGGTAAATTGCTGCAGCTTCGCGCCGAAACCTCGAGCACACACCACCGCGATCTTCACCTGAAAGCTCGGTTCCAACCAAAACACCGTGTAATAGTTGGGCAGAAATCTTAGAAGATCATTGATCAGCTCAGAATGGTGATGAACAATTACACGACAACTGTACCTTAGACAGCAAAGCGTCTCGCCACTGCGCCTTTTTGAACGCACCAATTGGCACTAGACCTTTCGGAGGGAGAAAGAAATGACTGTAGGGAGATTAGCAGTTGTCCAAAAGATATTCGTTGCCACGGTGTACCTCTAAGAATTAGTCCACCTCAATCCATTCTTCCGGTAACCAGATATTCATCTCCATATCGACCATGACACCTCTTGGATCCTGCTCATCGTCTCTCGAGATTGTCGACCCTAAGCGTCGGTCCTTGGTTCCTAAGGCCTGAGGTTGGAGTACGGCAAAAATTTTGCCAGTATCAAGCACATCGAACCAGCCTAGATACGTACTCCTGTTCACGGCGCCTTCAAGTCCGGGACGGCTACTCCATCCACCAGTGGTTGAAAACATTGCAAGAGAGTCTAGAAGTCGCAGAAGAAGGGGCATGCGAAAATATAAGTGAAATGAGAATAAATTGTATGGAACCTGGTCGTCGTGATGGTAGAAAAGAAAGAGCAAGGCCAACGTGGTAAAATAACACATGCAAACAGACGCGTCACGTCGACTGGTGGCTGTGCCAATATGGTCGCAATGTTCTGCTCTGTAACTGTTCCGCTGCGCCCGAATGGTTTTTATCGACCCCTGTGCCCGCTCCGGTTACGGTCGTTTTAATCGGTATTGTAATGACACGCACCACCTATGCCGAAGTTACATACCGCCGTCTATTTTCAATTTTGCCAGTGCGTCCATTCGCTTCCATTCGTCGTCTAACTCATCGAAGACTCTCAATTACAGGTTATAATCTAGAGCAACAAACGGAGAACACACCAGATGGGATGCTGCTACGATATCGATGCGACGATATTAGTTTACGAGGCCAACTGTCAACTTCCAAGCAACCGAACGACAAGCCCATCAACTGGATCCTGAATCACTTACAGCTGTTAGCATACAGCTTGACAGTCAGGGGCGTTTTTGTGGATGATGGAAGAAGGCTTGGACTTCGTCATAAACCGTGTTTTGAGGACTTCAAGCGCACAAAAGGGTCTCCGAGATCGCCGAAATAGCCATAAACGCGTCTTCAAGTCCGTAAACCATGGTTTATGACCAAGTCCAAATTATTCTCTTCTCTCGCGCAAAACACATGCTACTGCCAAGCTGCAAACAGCTGTAAATCTCGCTATCACATCTGGGAAAGTGACAACATAGATTTATTTATTCTATCTAGAGATCACTGTTCCGTACGAAGATACTGTCTCGACGCTGGAATTGCCCCTGTAGGAGTGAGTTTGGAAAAATTCTTTTCCTCAAAATCTTCACGACTGATCGGGAACTGTCCTTTTTTTATGAATCCTAGGTCTCGCTGCGTGGACAATGTTTTCCAAAGCTGCGCTGTACAAGTTCAAGCCATCGTAATGACATTCTCTTTTTTTTCCACTCCTGCAGATACTTCTCCGTATGCCATCCTTTGCTTCCTGGATCTCGGTTGAGGCGCTGACTGGCATGGGGACTGCCTCGCGCTGTACGATTTCTGCCAATGTCGTTTCCATTGCCTCTATCAGGGTATACTTGCTTTGAACAGATCGAGCCTAATAACGATCTTTATACAAAGGTATTGATTACCATATATATTCTCTAGTTTTAAGGTCTGACCCTATTCTCTGAAATAGTACAACGATGACAGCTCTGATTATACCCTATGCAATCCATACCACTCTAGCATTGCTTTACGGCACTCGGACCTCCTCCGCGGTTGCAAAAAAAAATCGTCGGTGCTAATATAGCGTCCCGTGTGTCCATGTTCTTCTGAGTTATAAATTCCATCAGTAGCTGCAGTTCGTTCGCTTCGCTTGCCTGATAAGTTCAGACAATGACCTCCCCCCTCTTCAGACCTCAAGCTTCAATCGTTAAGGGAGGACGTTATTTCACGTGCATGGCTACATGACAACAGTATACATGACTCATGTTCCCAAAGGCAAAGCAGGTACTATATACACTTCGCTCGTTCCTGACACCTCAAACGATCCGAACCACGGAAATGAACGTCGCTGGGATCAAAACCATTGTTCTCCCCGGTTCTTTCTTACGAAACTCAGAAAAAGGTGATCAGTGGTGTCGGAAATACACGGGTTAAGACCATAACTGATATGATCAGCTCCAGAGCTGCACACCTTTCGTTCCCATTCTTGTCCCATTACTATATAGTGCCTACTGCTACCGATGCGCCTCTTAGGCGCCGTGCAACCATCAAATAATAGCCAAACCTCCCCCAAAACTGCTGTCGAAGCAACATTCTTACTCCGCCTACATTATCTTTATCCATCGTGGATGCGATCATTAGTCCTGCCGGAGTCACTATAAACCTTCGCAGATACGAGAGATGCGAAGAACCCACATTCATGCTGTGGTAACGAAACGCAGCCCCACAGATGATAATAGCACGTCGTCTCGGCGTCGCTCGTGACGAGTCTATTGCACACCACACGGGTTTATCCAGCATCTGCGTGAAAACTGCTTCACGACAGGTCTATCGAATACTGCGCGGTCTGTTCCTGAGAAAGGAGTATTTCGGAGTCGAATGCTTCAAGCCTACCAGTCTCAAAGATACACGTTCTTGCTTCGCCTCGCCATTTATATGTCGTCCTGGACTCCTGGCAGAGTAAGCAGAAATCCAGGGACAAAATAGATTTCTGTCTCCCTGTTACCTGGCTCCCCGCGTACAGTGCTATTATCGTCCGCATAAAAACGAGATCACCTCTCCTTTTTGCTCTTCTCAAACAACATTGAATTCCCGCCATCTTCCTTTTGTTTTCCTTCCTCGGGTGTTTCATTTCATCCTCCGCTGGTTCCTGCAATATAATCAATGTTTACTACACCGATTCATGAGCTGCATCAGGTAAACAGATCCTCGACTGTTGGCTCTCATATATTAATCCACCCACTAAGGAATAACCCGAGCCGAAGTATACAGTATTAAAGTGGAAAGGATCTCGCCGAACATCTCATAATCCTCTTCGACCACTCTCCTCACCAATGCCTGACATCTCAAACTCCTCCCGCGAGACTGTCGTCCGCACACCGACCACTGCTACTCCCCAAGACCATATCAAGCGGGATCGGCTGGGTATCTTCGAGATTGTGTACGAGAAAGAGGGATCCTTCTTGCCTTCTCGAGACACTGTCGTGTCGGTGGTAAAAAGCATTCTGGAGAACTGGCCATTTGCCCTTCGCCTCTTCAAAGATGTCTATTCCGCTGCACCGAGCACGTTCCTGTTCTACCTTACTGCAAGCTTATGGTTGGGTATCCTGCCGGCAGTAACGATTTGTATCGTCAAAGTGGGGCTCAGCATCGTAAGATGTCACTTTTTATTCTTCTCTTCGCAGTTCATGCGACCATTTAGATCGAGACATGGATGACATCCGGGTTTTCCAGCTCGGATACTATGGTAGAGGACTTGAGATACGTTGTGTTGTATTGGTTATCGTCTGCCTTAGTATCAGCTGTGGCTAGACGTTTCATGTGAGTCTTTATTGTTAAGCAGTACTACTTGTGCTGAAAATATCATAGCACGGAGAATGAACGAGTCCTGGACTCGGCGACCAAGTTGCTTCTCTATCCTCAGTTCGCTAAAAGTTCGTGCTCCATTGGCCACGTCATTTATTCATTATCCTCATCATGCTGTCACAGAGAGCTTGGCTTTGGATCTGGATACTGCACTTGGTATAATTAACTCTCGTTATACAGATGCCCTTACTCACACTTTCTAGGTGGTAACTGCTTCCCCAACCCCGGAGAATTTCACCGAGCGTACTGCAAGGCATGGGAAACATTGCGTGCCATCATTCTTCAGCTACGGTACTTCATTAGCATTCTCCTTCAAGTCTGCGTTATGATCATCGTCCTTCGTGGATCTTTGCGTCTGGATATGGTTATAACATTTGTCTCCTGCGTTCTGGCTATCGTTCTGTTCAAACCCATCAACAAGTTTGGAGGCGCAGGTGAGTAATTTCAGTGACGAAGGAGGTGGCGCTTACATGCTTGTTTCAGGATATGCATACTGGACGAAGAATCCCCACTACGACCGTTTAATAGGACTCCATCAAATGATCTTTAATCCTTGGATCTATCGTGATTCTATCATCAAGACCGTTCCAGAAGGCTACATATATCAAGGTCAGCTTTGTCTCCCACACAGGCGCCCTTTTTCTAAATCAATGATGTTTTGACAGAATACAAGAAAGAGATCGAGGCCTTAGGTGCACAGAAGTACAGTGAAGCAGACTTCGCCTCGACGACGAGCGTCCCCCCTCCATGGTACTGGGAGTTTGCGAGCACAGTTCTTGTAGAATACTTCCCAGTACGCTTCATATGCTTTCCTGGGACGAAATACTGAAATAAATCATATTTCATAGGCCTTGTGTTCTCTTGGGTTGTTCTGGATTCCTCTGACGCCGTCTCTTTTGTCTGAAGCCGTGCTTCTTCAAGCGGCTTCGATGAACCTGAGGAAGAGCGTCGAATACATGAAGTTGTATCGATCCAGATCCTTTGTTGCTTTTATTGCAGAAGGCTAAGCTATGCTACCGAGATCTGCACATCTCTTCGCCTATCGAGAAGTCGTTCAGTAACGGTATGAGTATCTCTTTCCAGTGAGTCGAATGTCGTCTTTATTTCTAAATGTTAAACTATTTCAATATCCAGGAGCGTATCGTTGGTATACCCTGGCAACAAGAAAGCTCTTGACAACGTTTCCTTCGATGTATCTCCAGGACAGCTCATCGTTATCGTCGGCGCCAACGGCAGCGGAAAGTCTAGCCTTTTGAACCTGCTGCCTCGTTTGAGGAATCCTACTACCGGGGGTATACTCATTGACGGGAGACCCATACAAGACTATGACCTAACTTCTCTTCGTTCTTCCATCACCGTTCTTTCACAGGAAGACGTTCTCTATCCTCTATCCTATGGCGATAACTTTCTCATGACTCTGGGTAACTCTGCATCTCTTCTGACGGACAAAAAGCGCCGCATCGATATGCTTGAAAAGGCAGCTACTATGGGTGGATCGGCCGGAATTATCCACGCACAAAAGGAGGGCTTCGATTCTCTCTACACCCCCAATAACGAAGCTTTCGAATGTTCATCTCATGTCTCTATCATGGGTGGCGGGCACAAATTTCCTTCGTCGGCAGCGATACACGTACAGGAGCAGGAACATCCTCCACGGAAGCCTACAAAGCTGTCAGGAGGCGAGACTCAACGAGTCCTTGCGTACGTTTCTTCCCGTTTCAGTTGCTCTTGAGTTTTGACAAAGTCGTTTCAGGTCCCGGGCCTGTATGAAGCTATTGAATGGAGGCGTCAGGCTCCTGATAGCGGACGAAGCAACTTCGGCGATGGATCCTGTCGCTGAGCGTGCTCTGCTGAACGGTTTCTTGGTACATGGTAAAGCCATGACGATGATCTTTGTAACGCACAGATTTTCACATCTCGTCAAGCGTGCCGATCAGATTTTGTGAGTATTCAATCAATGGAATCTCTGATAACGAGAACGTTGCTGACATCTGCTATAGGTGCTTGGATGAAGGGAAGATTGTGGAACGTGGAACTCATGCTGAGTTGATGGCTATCAAAGGACAGTATGCCCAACTGTATAGCGCACAAGCAGAGGCGTACCAATAAGTTCCCAAATATACGGGTTTTCGGATCATTTTCTCATCCTTTCGGTGGAATTCTTAGTGTAACGGTGTGTTACATGTCTATGCTCGCTATGTCATAGGCCTTCTATCGATGAGATTGAGTCTGTCACTGAGCAGTTTTGATAAACGCCTTCCTGTAAACATGTGCACCACGACATCGTGCTGGTAGCTTTAGAGCATCGATAATATCACGAGCGGATCCGCTTTGATTAGCATTCGGCGTGTGATGGACCCTTTAGTCTGATTCCCCATTCGGGCTACTTGTTCAAACTCAAGACGCCAAAGTTTCAACTCAGCATCAAGGCTAGGCTTCTTGTTTACACGTCAGGGATTTTTCAATTCCGACGTGGGTCCATTATCCCATGGGGCTGCTTAATGGGTGTCCTATGATGCCGTGCACTACGGACTAGATATCATTCGGTAAATCTACCTACTCCCGGTGTTTGTTCGAGTACAAGTCTAATACTTAGTGCATGCCTCTTGTAGTGGCATTTGCCTCAATCTTTCGAGTATATCGGAGAGTCGGTAGTTCCGACACATAGACAAATTTGTCCCCAACACAGATGAGAAACCGTGCGTGCCTTCTCCGCCTCTAGATAGGCCTCCCTTGACGCATCAGGCTTTTCCGACGTCCCTATGAATGAACGTTCTGAAGAACATCTTCTAATTACCACACTTTCATGAACGTACACCAAGGCTCTCCGAGCTCAATCTCGTCCTCGTCCTTATCTCCGCTCCGATAATCCTCGATGCCCACAAACTTGTCTCATTCCACTTTATTCTCGTCATACACCTAGTTATCAAATACGCATTCCTCTTGCAGAGCCACAAGTGATGGCGGCAAGGTACCTGGTATCCACGCCTTGATTGCATCGTTCGATAAGAAGTCATTAATAGAAGCGAACTCCATTGTAAACTCAAAAAGCGTCCTGCCGTTGAGCTCCCAGACGTAAAATTTCCCGGAACAGAGGAAGATCATGAGGTCATCGTAGAACATGATGCATTTGACGGTGCTGCGAGGAATATCATAAATTCCTTCTAGCTCAACGTTGAAGAAGATACGCCCATCCGGGGACCGTAGAAGAAATATTCGGTTGGCTGAGAAATGCTCCCAGTATCATCGCCTGCCTGTAGGCAGCTTGCTCTGGTCAAGGAGGAAATGGCGCGCGCCAGACACTGCAGGAATCTGTCTAATTCAAGGCAGCGGCTTCGCTTTACCAGTTCAAAGGGTATCCTGGATTATCCAATTGACTAGCATTTGATGGCCATCACATTCGAGTGGCATTATCCGAGTCCTGTACCAAGTACGTCCCCCCTGTCCACGTTGTTTTACAATGCGGAATGTAGTCAGTTTTTCCTGTATATTGCCATCACAGGCTCCCTCTCATCAGGTGAAATTGAAAAGTCGATGTGAATCATTTCACCTTCTAGGATCGATTTTCTCCCGTTGACATAACCATCGTTAAACCATACATTTCCCGTGTTATCTATAAACCTGGCTGTAAAATGTGCATTTCCAAAATATATGACACCGGCTAATGTGTAACCCACATCTTCTCCGTTTACATTCAACGTAAAATAAATGTCCGGTGTGGTAGACGATCCTTCAATGTACACAGGAATTATATCAGGGGATATGTGATAATGCTCTATTTTGCACGTGGAGGATCCACATTCGGTACATGTTATTCTCAACGGATATTGCTGAGTCGAAGACAAATACTGCGATATAGTTTGCTTAATCTGCGTCCTCGAAGGAGTGATGCCGCAGGAATAATATCTGATACACAATCACGAACGGCATCAGGCATATCGGCATCGACATCCGACCTCGCCACGACAGAGTCTATCTCGTCACCGGAAACGTCACCAATAGACATGGAAGCATGTCGTACGGGAGCGGACGACCTACTCTGGCGAGAACTGTTCGACGCAACATATACGAAAGTCAGCATACGACACAAACCCAACAAATATAACCATGCACGTAATAGACACCGGTGGCAACAACTCTTTGGGAGCATGATAAGAACGAGTGGAACAAACATTGCTACTAGCGCAGAGGATCGAAATTCATACAAGAAAGCAGACAGTCAAAGACAGGACGTACCCCGCAGAGCGAGCACTCTGAATAGACAATTGAACAGGCCTTCGATATCATCAGCACGCATACCAAGGAAGAAGAAGTAGACCACACCTATCGAGGGTGGCGGACCTTCTGACAGGCATAGGCTTGACCCTTTTTGCGAGGGGACAGAGTTGTTTCGGGAACCTTGTCGACGGGAGGCGCAACTTCAACAGCATTGAGAAGTTCTACTGAGGGGGACCTCTCTTTTATTTTGCGAGAACGTCTAGTCACAAAAGAAAAGGAACAATTATTAACAGTGGAGAAGGGCAGTGAACAGGAATGTTCGCTACGTAGGACGAGGAGGCATATCGAGAGAAAGTACAGAAATGACAAGCACGAGGATAATAAAGCATGATAGGGCGAAAAAGACACGGGGTGAGGATATCCATCCCCACAATCGAATGGCCCATTAAGAAGGGACACACAGTGGGTGATCAAGAGGACAGGTTGCCAAAAATAAAAATGATACCTTCGCACAAACATGTGATGTAGATGTGTAATCAATCACATGATACATACTGACAGACAGAGAAGCGCGAAAATTCGACCCACAAAGACGAACCGGTTCTTCTTTACACACATGAACGATCACGCCAACGGTGCACAGGCGAAAGGCGAAAATGAAGATCTGAACGGGACAGTTCAAGTCGCAACCAAGCGTGGTCGCTCGTAACCATAACCAGAGAACAATCCAAACCCAACAAAAAGACTTGTAGAATGAACGAATTCTACAACATGGATAAAGCAAGTACGTGCATACATTTCCAAGGTTTACAATGTTTCTGATACAGAAAATAAGGAGAAGCACTGGAAATATACACGGCAGAAAGTGCCCAAAAAAACGAGTACCATCTTTGTGCAATAACCAAGGTATCAACAATACGTACCATAAAACAGGTATTCAATATGAACTAAAACATGCAGAACCAGTCCATGCAGAAAGTATCACTCGAAGACGATGGAATAGGTCACGTTGAAGAGGCTCTGTGTGCGCCAAGCTAGAAATGCACTAGCGTATATAACACTAACACACCCACACTCACACTCACACACACACAAACCCTCAGTAGTTCAGGGGTGATGTGCGATACAAGCACACAATAGCAGTAGTATTGAAAGAATCCTTGCACGTTACAATATAATATAGCGCACTTAGCAATATAATACTCTTCTAAGTCCAAATGCTTTTGGAACAGGAGGTGAGCGACAGAATTGCTCGGCCTCAAGGCAAAAGTATTATTTTGCAAGCCCCCAAATGTTCTACAAGAACGTATAACCCTCAAAATATGTCGCACGCAACACACAAGTGTCCACAACATTTCACAATACACTTAACATGACTTAAAGCCTTGCACTCCAAGCAGAAAACACTTCAAAACCCGTTCGTAGATCCACAGGGTTCTAACCTATGCGATCCAGAGATACACAAACACAGAAAACATGTCCACAAGCCACAGGGTTTGAACCTATGCCACTTGGGAATAAACCAAAAAAACCTCAGAGATTACTGACAAGCCAAAGGGTTTGAACCTCTGCCACTTGCAATAACTCAGAATTCACAAACAAGTTCCAAAAACACAAATGCACATTCAAGTTATCACAATACAATATTCTCTAAGTAGAGCGCAATCAATTACTGTACTTTACTTGAACAAATCAAGTGTGCTCGAGCAAGGCATGCCTCGCGAGCTCTCAAAGTGTTCAAAATAATTCTAAGTTCAATAATATTCTCTTGCTCGAAGCTTCAAATAAAATCCTTTCGTCGTACACTAAGCACGCTGCTTCGTAGTACAATTGCAGGGGTCTGAAAACTTGCTAACTACCTGTAACTACCACTCTTATATTTACTGTTAACTATATGAAATGTAAATACTGAAAATAGACAATGCTCCACCTCGGACTCCCTTCTCTTGCGTGCCATGTCAGCTGTAGTGATAGTAATCATTATTTTACTCAGCACTCCATGTTGGCGTGCGTGCTACCACTGTTTTCTCCACTTGGCAAGGCCTAGCCTCGTCGTGCCATGTGGCATGTGTCTTCTTATTGGCTCCGCAGATTTAATTACAGTGCCACGCAACTTATCTAGTGAGCGAGTTTTATTTTATTGGTTGCCGCGCAACCATTTCTAGTTTAATATTTCATATGGGCAGCGGGTTTTATTTCTCTCCAGCCGAGAACTCCTTAGAGTATTTGGACTTGTTGATTCTTCATTCAGGATGATGTTTCTCGGTGATTGCCAGATCGGCAGGGTTCGCGCGTCATAGATCAATGTAGTGTGAAGCACCTTCAATATATTATCTTCAGTGAATTTAATTGAGTGATACACTGCAGAGGAGGGCACAGAGTGTGTGTATAAGCACTGAGACTGCACACTTAAATGACACAAGTGTGCCGTTCTAAGTCTAAGCCATGCGCTCTACTCATATTATTTTTATTATAGTGCTTTCTGCCTCAGTGTGTAGCGCTCTATGCCTTACATGCACTCTAATATTATTCATGGGGCACACACATGTTTGCATTCCTAGAATTCGCAAAATTACATGTGTGAACATGTTGCACACGTGTCAACGTATGGTGCATACTCAAGAGTACAAACGAAGGGAAGGAGATTCACCGCTAACAGGATCATATGCGGCCTAGACCTACTCCCCCTGTTCAAAGTTCCAAAGTGAGTACAAGTTGGTCAGATTAAAAGCAGAAGGGTTCGGTCACTGACAAGGTCAAGGTCATTATCGGACAAGCCAAGCACGCTATCGCAAAAAATAACAATTACAGGATTAGGGTCAAGATATTTTGAGGAGGTGATGGAGGAACCGAAAGAGGTGAGCCTGACGGTGGAAAGGGAGTTCAAGCAAGAGGCGCTAGAACAATGGAGACCAACCACGTACCACAGTTTCGACACAATGGAGTCTACCAACCGATACTTCAGGAGAATTATAGAGGGAGAAAGTGAGGAGGTAATGCCGATATTGAAGGAAGTAGATCCCAATGGAGCACTGCAGCAACTCATATGACCAGGCTTGGTTCACACTGAAGAGAATGTAGTATGCTACTTCAGGAGCAACTGTAGATGACAGAGGCAAAAGAAGGTGAGAAAAGCAAACACGGAGGTGATGCGAACGACTAAACGATGTCGCATAACACAGATACATCTGAGCAAAACCACAGCTGTTCAGGGCAGGTGACATAGTCGAGGTACAAGTCATGTTGGCTGTCATAAGAGGGAAAAAGAGGACGCACCATATCAAGCCAATCCTGAGGGCGGTGGCTCTTATAGACAGCAACTTCACACAGGTAAGTGACAAGTTATTTAACAGTCAGCCGTCATAATGTTAATCACTTATACCACTCGCATCACCAAATTTATTACAAAAAAATGGAACATATGCACCTACTCTGTCCACACAAAGAAAAAGGTGGCAGTCAGAGCAAAGGTGGCATCTGCAGGAGGCAAAGCAACAATGGAAGGACAAGGGAGTCAAGGTTTTAAGTGCAAGATATATTTTATGGAAGAGGATGAACACGAAGAGATGAGCAATAAAAAAGATGGGAAATGGGTGAAGGGTCAGGGGGAATAGAAGACAAAATAATGTAACTATAATACAAGAGCATGAAAGGTGAACGAGATGAATAGGCAGGTTGAATAAGACGACAGCAGAAGCACAGGAAAGAAAAAGGCAAAGAAATCCCATGAAAATGATGAATGTTGATGAAAATTTCCCACAGATAGCCCAGGGAGAATTGGACGGCAATTCCCATGTTGGACGATCAAAAAAGGGCATCCAGGTTGGTATAAAGACCGAATACCTATATATACATATAGGACTCGGAACTCTCATGTACAAAGATTTCGACTCGATTGCATCATATTGCATCTGGTTCACCAGCACAACCATACCATGCTTTGTCAAAGCAGGGAAATATATCATGTCCCTGTTCACCCAAGTAGCACTCCCATCATCGGTTTACAGCGGTACATATCCTGAAACGAATGTGCGTCAGTTGCATCCATCTCGAGGACACTGAGAAGTCTAACATAAGCTTGGGTATTGCCGCCATATTCATCCATCCAAAGGTGAATATGGCCATCGAGTCTCTATCTTACCTAGGAGAGAGTAATGCTTGGGTCAGAAAGATCTGAAGCGAGTAAATGAAGAATGCAACGAGAGGCACTGAATTGTATATGTGACGAGGACAAGTTGAATTTCATTCCTTGGTCATTGTTTGTGACGGAGGGAATGGTCCTAGCAACAGAACACAAAAGAATCATAGGGCGCTCCATGACACTTCCCTACATCTTTGTGTCCCGGGGAGCTGGTGATTTTTTTGCCTCTAATTCCCCAAGTTTTTCTCCATAACTTGTATTTAGTATTACAAGCTTGGTCCAATTATTCACGTGGCTCAGCATATGTGCCATCATTGAAGAGTATGAGTGTTTGACAAATGATGTGAATTGGGACCAATACAGTTGCAGACTATACGAGAGATAGCAATGCGTCCTAAGAAACTGCCTTGGTTCTTTGTAAGCCACTAACTCTGATCGACTTAGATCGTGCTAAGGTGGCTACTCGCACTTCGGTAGACCACGCTCAACAAGTCAAAGGCGACGTAAGTCGATGGGACAATTTAGTCACGAAGGACGGAGTTCGATGTTAGGTAGAATAAACCTTAGCCGAAGCTGGGGTTTAGACCAGCTGAGGCTCTACTTAAATACACGTTGCGTAGGCTAAAGATAGTGCCGCAGCAACGTCCGATCGAAATCGCAGCATAGAGTAAGCGTGAATACGTAAGAAAAGAAAAAGAAAAGGAAAAAGAAAAGAATAACCGTAACATTACCCCCTCCTCAAGACTCGTTCGTCTCGAATGAGTCCTGACTCTCCTCCCCGCTTCGTGCAGATTCGCTGCAGAAGGACCAAGTGTCGTCATCTTCGTCTTCGTCATCTTCGTCCTTATCCCAATTCTCCGTGACTCGTTGTAGGAAGTCTACATCTGAGTCGTTGTCGCTTGGCGTGTCTTCCACTCTCGATATTCCGTTGGCTTCTTCCGCCGTTACTTCTCGCATCTCCACTGAAGATTGCACATCCGAATGCCTTGGGTTTGTGCATTCGGAGGAACAAACGGTTTCCACGTCGGTGACACATGGAGAGTCCGGATCGTGGTATGGCGTTTTGCCTTCTGGGGGTATCTTGTCGTCCCTTCCGATTGTCCTTCCATGTTTGTCGACCTCCCAGTGGATTTCTTGAAGGCGAGCTTCGTACTCGTTGACGAGTTCTTCTGCGTTCGCCATATTCGATCGTTTTACCCAGGAGTTCTCTTCTCTTGGATATCCTTTCCACTTCACCAGATACTCTGTTATCGCGCGACGGGTGCGTCCGCGGCCAATAGTCTTGTCCCGCTGTTCCACGATCTCTTCGATCTCGTATTCTTCTTCGTCTTCAATCAACTCTGGAGGTGGTCGTTCGGGACGTGGTTGATTAGGAAAGGCGGGGGCCACTGTAGGGCGTCAATAGAGACTCGTTGAAGCGGTTGTGAATTTTCCATTTTACTGGCAATTTCAACTCGTAGGCAGAAGCCCCCTTTTTTGCAATGATAGCGAAGGGTCCGACCCGACGATCCCCGAGTTTCTTGGTTGGCCTGGGAAGGTGAAGATTGGTCGTGTCGAGCCAGACCTTGTCTCCGACTTGGTATTCCACGGCGGGGTCCTTGCGTTTATCATAGGCCTTTTTCATGGACTCTGCCGCTTTTTCCAACGACTTCTTTGCCTCGCCCTGTGCCTTTTCTATCTCTTCCACGAGCTTTCCTGCTGCTGGGACGCTTGTGGTTCGTTGAGGCTTTTTAATGACCTCCCCGTCTCTCCCGAAGATGACTCGATAGGGGGAGTACCCCGTCGCTGAATGTTGTCGATTATTGTGAGTGAAGGCCGCTAACGGTAGCCATTCGCTCCAATCGTCCTGCCTGTCGTTCACGAACATCTTCAAGTACTTCTCAATCTCCTGGTTAACCCTCTCCGTTTGTCCGTCGGTCTGTGGGTGATATGCCGTGGAGGGATTTCCCTCGACATGAAGCATTCGGTAGAACTCCTTCATAAACTTGGATACGAACACGGAGCCTCTATCCGAGATTACTTTCTCGGGCATCACACCATAGGGCACATAGACGTAATCTCTCAAGATTTTGGCGAATCCGAGAGAGGTAAGTTCTTCGGTGCAGGCTATGGGGATGATGGCTTTAGAGAAGCGATCTACGATGACAAGGATGGAGTCGAACCCCTTGGACGTCGGGAGTTTAGTGATCATGTCGACCGAAAGGTGTGTCCAAGGCCGTGTTGGTATCTCGTTTGGGTGAAGGGGAGCCTTCTTTGGACGGCGGTCAACCTTGGTTCGTTGGCAAACCTCGCAACCCTTCACGTATGCCTCCACGTCTCTTCGCATGCGGGGCCACCAGTAATCGCGGAGCACCAGTTCTTTGGTCTTCTCGATCCCTGGGTGCCCTGCGGTGATGTGGTCATGTTTGAGAGCAATGAGTTGCCCTCGTAGATCCCTATCCATCGGCACGTAAATACGTCCATCATACCATAGTAGATCCTGCTCGCGTGATACTCCTTTTTCGTGATTAAGCGAGTCAGAGATCCCCCTGTCCCAGCGGCGGGGGTCGTGCGTAGCCGCTTTGATCCTCTCGTGTAGTTCCTCGGGGGTTGGCATCACCAATGCCCTAAAATGTTCGGCTTTGAGAACCACTATGTCTCGATTGTCCTCCTTTCCTTGATCATGGTCCGCCCTTCGAGATAAGAGGTCGGCCTTACGGTTTTGAGCCCCAGGCTTGTGGTGCAAAGTGAATTGGTATTCCGCCAGTTCCGTAACCCACCGAGCTTGACGTCGGTTAAGCTTCTGGGGCTTGCGGAAATACTGGAGGTTGGAGTGGTCCGTCCAGATTTCAAAGTCCTCCCTGGCTCCCATGAGGTACTGACGCCACTCTTCGAGGGCGATCATAATGGCTAGGAGCTCCTTGTCGTAGATCTCATAGTTCCGTTCTGTAACAGATAGGGCTTTGGAGAGGAAGGCCACGGGTCTCCACTTCTCGTCCTGCCACTGGGAGAGTACTGCCCCCACTGCCCCTTCGCTGGAGTCCGCCTCCACTCGGAATCGTCCTTGGTCGAGCGGGATGGCGAGTACTACGTCCTCCCGGAATAGCTCCTTCAGTTTCCGGAAGGCTTCTTCCTGGGCTTCTCCCCATTTCCACTCTTGTTTGCCGGTAAGCGAGGTAAGCGGGCGTACGTGACGGCTATAATCTCGAATGAATCGTCGGTAGAAGTTGCAAAATCCAAGGAAGGATTGCAGCTCCTGTTTACGACGAGGTACCGGCCAGTCAAGCAGGCCCGCAATCTTGACGGGATCCATGCGGATCTTCCCCTCGCTAATGATAACCCCTAAGTATTCGGTTTCCTCCACCTCGAATTCGCACTTTTCTGCCTTTAGGAACAGTTTATTCTCTCGTAGTATCTGGAGGACTTTTCGTACAATCCTCTTATGCTCCGCCTTGGTCTTGGAGGCAATGAGGATGTCGTCCAAGTATACCGACACTTCACCAGCAGTGATGAGATCTTTGAAGATGTCGTTCATCATCCACTGGAAGGTGGCGGGAGAGTTGGTGAGCCCGAAGAACATGACGAGAGGCTCGTAAAGGCCGCGATTAGTTCGAAAAGCGGCCTTCCATTCGTCTCCCTTCTTGATCCGTACGTTGTTGTAGCCCCACCGGACGTCCAATTTGGTAAAGTACTTGGCCTTTTTCAGCCGGTCCATGAGTTCTCCGATAAGCGGTAATGGATAACGGTTCTTGATGGTCATCTCATTAAGCTTTCGGTAGTCCTGGACAGGTCGTAACTTCCCATCCTTCTTTTTGACGAAGAAGAATGGGGAAGCCATTGGAGATTTCGAGGCCTGAATTCGCCCGGTGGCCAAGTTTTCATCCAGAAACTTGTCCAGTTCCTCCTGTTCCGTCGGATTGAGTGGGTAGA